GGTGCCCGGCCCCTCCCACTGCCCCCAGCCAAGCGTCCCGAGGCCCGCTTTGAGCCAGCACCTGCCCCCCCGTACCGTCGACGCAGCGCAGTGCTGCCCGAGGGGGGGGCACGCTATGGGGGGAGTGCCCGGGCAGCCTCCACTGTGGTGACCAATGTTGTGCGGCCCGTGAGCAGCACCCCAGTGCCCATCGCCAGCAAGCCGCCCTGCAGCCCTGAGCCCCCCAATCCCCCGCTGGCCCTGCTGGGCCCGGGACCCCCCAAAGCGGAGGCGGCGGTGCTGGGCCGTGCGGGGCTGCTCGGCACTGACAAGAAGCCCCAAGGGTCCATGGGCAAGGCCTCTCCAGCTGCTGGCACTGTGGTCACCAGCCTGCTGGTGGGTGCAACCGGCTACGGGCAGCCTGGTGGGGCAGCAGCAGGCCCAGCTGGGGGGGCCTCAGTGGCCATGCTGCCCAGCGCAGCCCTGGCACAGCCACCTGCTGTGCAGTTCATCACACAGAGCCCAGCAGGCACGGCAGGGCCCAACGGGGCTTTGCCGCTGGGCATCCTGCAGCCACCGCGCAAGGCGGGCAGCATCACTCAAGTACAGTACATCCTGCCCACACTGCCACAGCCCCTGCAGGTGGCTGGGCCAGGCAAGGGGCCGGGGGCTGGGCCAGGCGCCCCCAGCATCCACTTCACCCTGCCGCCTGCCAACGGCAAGGTCCTGGCCGCACCTGCTGGTGCCCCCCCAGGGCTGCCCCTGCTGCAGCCCGCGCCTGGTGTGCCCAGCAGCACCGTTACTGTTGTCTCCACTGCCCCCAAAGGTAAGGGGCCCCAATCCAGGGGTGGGGATTTGGTGGTGGGGGGTGTGCTGCTCACCCCCACCCGCTGTCACTGTCTCCACAGCCCAGGCGGCGTCGCCGGTGCAAGCACCGGGCACAGGTGCCACAGCCCACCTGGTGCAGGGCAAGGTGCTAGTGCCCATGGCGGCCCCCCAGGTGACAGTGCGGCCCAGCAGCACTGCCGGCCCCCTGCCCCAGGTGGCCCCACCCTTCCCCGTTCCTGTGCAGAATGGTGCCCAGACCACCAGCAAGGTCAGTGCGCCAGCCCTGGGCACCTGCATCCTGCGCGTGTGTGTGGTGCGCGCGTGTTGCATCCTTTGTGTGTGTGTGTGTGTGTGTGCGCGCATGCGTGTGCACGCATGCGTGTGCGCATGTACCCTGGGCACCTGGGTACTGTGTGTGTATATGTGAATGTGTGTGTGCATGTGTTCCAGATGCCTTGGTGCTACACATGCACGTGTGCCATGGATGCCTGGGTTCTGGGTGCATGTGTGTGCAAGTTCTGGATGTCTGCATTCCATGTGTGTGCAAGATACCAGTCATATGTGTGTATGTCCTGGATGCCTGGGTCTTGTGTGTATGCATGCATATATGTGGGTGTGTGTTCGCGCGCATATATGTACCATACGCATTTGTGTGTGTCAGACACCAGATTCTGTGTGCACGTTCCTGGTGCCTGGGTTCTGTATGTGTGCAAGATGTCTTGGTCTTGTGTGTGTGTGTGTGTGTGTGTGTGTGTGTGTGTGTGGGATATTTGTGTCCTGCATGTGTATGCCTGGGGCTGTATCCCAGATGCTTGTGTTCCCCATGTGTCATGTCTGCCTGTCCTGGACACCTGGGTCCCGCATGCCTGCGCCTCACACCCTCCTCTCACCCCTGCAGATCATCCAGCTGACGCCAGTGCCTGTGGTGCAGCCCCCAGCTGCAGTGCCCAGCAGTGCCACACTGGTGCCCCCGCTCAGCCCTGCGGCAGCAGCAGTGGTGGGGGCGCCCAGCCAGCCTCAGAAGGTCTTGCTGCCCTCCTCCACCCGGTAGGACTGCCGGGCCTGGGAGGGCAGTCGGGCTGGGGATGCTGGGCTCAACCTCTGACCGCCCTGTCTCCCCCCCCCCAACAGGATCACCTACGTGCAGTCAGCACCCGCTCACCCCCTGCCCCTGGCTAGCTCGGCCTCACCAGCCCAGCCTAGCCCTGCGCCTGCCCCCGCCTACGTGCAGGCACCTGTGGGGGCCACCCCCATGGCGCTGGGCTTTACCGCCATCGGGCCTAACGGCCAGGCCATCGTCCAGCCCCTATTGTCCGGTAAGGCCTGGGCAGGGGGTGGGAGGGATGGTGCGGGGCAGGCAGCAGCATCTAACTGCGCGTCTCCTCTGCAGGCCAGAGCTCCCTGCTGGCACCGGGGCAGGTGGGGGCACCGGCACTGCCTGGCCCGGCACTGCCCCCAGCCTCCAGCGGGCAGGTGATCACGGCCATCTACCCCGGCCCCGCACCACCGCCTGCACCTGGGCTGGTCTACAGTGTGGCCAGCTCCACTCCCGCTGCCCCCACCGCCATCCTGCCCAAGGGGGTGGGCAGCATGGCCGCTGGGCAGGGCCCCATCGCCCCTGGGCACACTGGTATGTGGAGGAGAGGTGGGGCAATGCAAAGGAGGGATGTAGAATGGGGTGGGGCATGCAAGTGATAGTGGGGCTTTAAGGGGCAGGGCTAGGCAAATGTAAGGCACTACAGTGCTTTTGACAGCCCCGCCCACCTCATTTGCATAGTGCTGTAGTTAGACAGAGCCAAAAGCCTGGGACAGGCGTTCAGACTAGTAGGTCCAGAGCGGGCAGAGCCAGGGAGTGTGGATGGGGCTGACTGCGCCTCTCCCTGCAGGGCCCCTGGGCTTCCCACCTGCACCGACCCGGCCCCCGCGGCCCCTGCCGAAGCCCCCCCAGAAGGTGAAGGCCGCCATCGC